TATATATATAGTTTATACAGTTGCTCTCGTGTAGATACATATTCGCATGAGTGTGCTTCTATATGCACATCGTGTGCTGATGCTAGTCTTACCTGCCAGAAAGCCTATTCGGTATGAGTGCCACTGAGACCAGCAGAAGTCCTTCAGAAGCCAGAAATATACCTAAGGATATATAGATAGTAGGTGTACATTTCGAATCATGAACTTATAAGAAAAGAAAAATGATATCATCGCTATCAATCTCGACACAGTAGTTATTGCTGGGGTTGAACAGCTCGTTCTTGCAAACAAGCTACTCCTTGAATAGAGTCAAGTTATTGCACCATTATTAAACCCGAAAAATTCGTACCTGTACATAATCTATTCCTTCATACTTCATATACCAGCGCAAGCTCCATTTTTCCAGCGTGTATGGCCCACTCGTTGTGGCGTCTTTCAATACGTTTCCTCTCTGCGCCGTATGAATAGTGCGAGAACCACCTTCGTCGTCACGCATTAGGATTTTGTAACGTTGAGATATGCGACCTTGTGTAATGTTCAATTTCCTCTCTATATTACGCGGCAATACAATAAAATAATCCGCTTTGGTTTGTGTTTGTGCTTTATTTTAGTTTTAGTGCGAATTCTCAGAGATTTCAAGATTTGTTATCCCTCGCCCCAGCGGGCCCAGCCCCCCTCTTTGGCCCCAGCGATGAAAAATTTGGTAACAATATTGATAGAAAAAAACAAGAGTAAATATTAAAATACCCCCTAAAAAGCACATATTTGTATCAAAAACGAGATACTATCTTTGTATTTATTCACAGGGGAATACAATTGCAGTGACACTCTTTATGTGCACCTATGTATACAATGTATAGCGAATTTTGAAACTCTAAAATACAAGTGACTAATCGGTGGTTGTTTATTTGGAATTCAAATATGCTTTCTTAAGAAATGAAAGAAGTAGAGACAAAAAAAAATCAAAACTATATATTCAATAAGCACCTATGTAAGGTGGCTATTTATAGTATTTACCTACCATTCCATTCCAATCTCGATCACTGTATGTAGTAAGGACCAGTAGTTGTATTAAACAGTATGTTATACTTATCCGTCAAACCGTTACAACACATTTAGCGACTGTCTGGATTAGATCCGTCTCTATCGTAGGGAAGTAGAAGAGACATAACACTGTTCTTCAGAAATAGCTATTCTCTGATACTTCTTCCTCTGCCTAGAGAGAGAGAGCCGAATCAATTTTCTACAGGACCAGGCCAGTTCCAGTACATACTGAAGGTCTATTTCGAAATCTTGGAAGGCATGTGCAATTGTACATACTACACCACAGATCACTGAATATAATTTAGAGAGATACAGCAACATGTCATGTGCATTTACATGCGATATGATATGTTAGTTGAAATGTAGTGATGGTATTTTCTAATTTACGCTGCCAGCAGCCAGTCTGCCGTATATTTACACTGCCAAATATTTATCGTAAATATACACTACGTAAATACATACACACACATGATATATAAATACCAACATTTGGGTGTTTTCGTTTTATTTTGACGCACATAAAACAACAAAAAAAACAATACAAAAGAACATTTTACATTTATTATATGTATTTATTATTTAAAATTATAATGTAGCCGATGTCGGATGTTCTATTGTTCACGAGTTCATCCGTCAGGCAACAATTATTTTAACTGGATGATAGCATCCCGTTATAAAAACATAACAGAGTAGAACATCCAGCTGCACTTTCGTACATAGACCCTCTCAGTCTCAGACTCTCAGACTCTCTCCCCCAGACCCCAGTGGCCCAGTCCCGGCCCCCACATTGACGGCCTGACGGCCTGACCCCCTCTCTCTTTCGTCTCTCTCTACTACTAGTAAAGAGAGAGCGAGAGAGTAGAGAGAGAGTGTGTGAAAGAGCTAGACTCCATGAGTTATGTGTACAAAGAATTAAAAATGTGTCTGTCACAGTGTCAGCCTATCACATTCACAGCAGGGGGCCAGGCTGCCAGGGGACAGGGGTACATAGTCCACTCTCACTGTAAATACCTATTTTTTAATTTTTAACTATACATCCACGCGGGTAGCGGGGAGCTCGACAATCACTATGATACCAATATTTTTCTGTAAATATATAAAGTTGTATTTTTATTTGACCGTTTGACGTTTGCTTTACATTTCAGTCGGTTAAATATTTAATAATTAAAAAAAAACTTTTCGTCTTTCATGCTTTCGAAAGTAAATATGTTTTACTATTTTTTTATTTAAAAAAAACAATATTGCTATTATGTCCATACAACAAAATAGTTGAAAAAATTTCTCGCCATCTTTATTCACTTGTTGTTGAGACTTGATTTCTGATGACTTGTCGTCTGTTCATAAAAAACAAAACAAAATTACTTCTATTTTTAAATACAAATTTCTATTCCTGTTCTTTACTATATATTTTAATTTTTAGGGACCATGAAAAATCTTTTCACTTTCTCATTTCTATTTCACATCCCCGCACATAAGTTGTAAACTAGAGTAGAGAGAAAGTATGTGTAAAGAAAGTGACCTGCACTCCCGCAGTGCTTGATGACTCTTGCGATATTTAAATAGATCAGCCGTGAGCTGCACTCCAATGACTCACTCACCAGAGTCTCAGTATACTGCACTCTGTTGGCCATCGCCCATCAGCCTCAGGCCCTCAGCAGGGCTATGTAGCGGGCTACCGGGCACCGGCTCAGGCCCCAAAGGGTCCTCACCAGCTCACCCACCGTGACCTTCTCCTGCGTGTGTGAATAAAATAGCAATAAGAGTCTGTATTTTTATTTTATTTTATATAAAATCAACGTACACTTGTTGTCATCTGTACAGCGTACAGTAACGTTCACAGTTCACACCAACTTTATTCTAGAAAAACTGTGTCATTGTCAGTTTGGCTTTGACTCCTTTTTTAACAGTAGATCGGAGTATTCAGTAAAATATATACCCGATAGTAAATAACATCTTATTTTTCCTTGTCATAGAACAACACTATGTTTGTGAGTTGCGATTCCAAAATATAGATGCTTTAAGAATGAACCTCATAACTGCATACGCTTCATTAGTAGGTCACAACGACAAAATCATCAATAAGGAACCATGAGGAACCCCACAATAGCGTACCCATTTGCACAATGCAAGGCGGAACTGAAAGATATCACAACAGAACGTCCTTTGAAGAATTCAACAAGCAATAATATAGTCTCGCCTATCGCAGTAGAATCTGCATCCAGACCTCATGTCTTCGCGGACAACCGCGCCCGCAATGCTAATGATAAGAAAGACCCAATCGAAGCTAAACCAAGGCCTTCGCACGGAATTATAAGTGATAGCAAATCTTCCTCTGCCGACCGCATCGTCCCCAGGGTCAAACCGAGACCTCCTAACTCCAAGAACGAAGTACCGTATGATTTTATGATGCGCACCCAGTCTACAAAACACTCAAATGTGCTGCAAACACGCTCTGGATCGCAAGTGCCTCGTGTATCAGATGGAGATACTGAAGGATCCGTAGAAGGTAGTATTCTAATATACCCTCTGGATGCGCGATCACGAATGAAAATAAGCGATACACCCCACTGTACAACCTTCAGCCTGGCCAAGGATTGCACACCCGAAAATTCTGTGCGACTCAAATCCGCGCCTGCGGTAACAAAGAGCCCATCACATCCAATACCTCAGCCAAGGCCACAAACTCTCACATTCCGAGTCGCACAGGAAAAACCAGGCTCTGCAGGCACGTACACGCAGTCTCCCTCCTGCAAAGGGTTACAAATTGTAAAGTGTAGCAAATCTGAAGAAGTAAGCGCTGTATCTGGTCATGAAGGCTCATATACACGCTCAAGATCATTGACCAGGCCACCAACAAATTTAGGTCCTGCAGGATCGAGATATATTGTGCCCATACACTACCAGAGTGGTCGCACACATT